CTAGTTGTTGAACTAGCCAAAATATTTTTTAATCTGTTTCCCAAAAAGATAATTAAAGTTCTTAAATTGATTATTTATAAAGAGAAGAGGTGCTTATGTTAGGGAGATAAGCCATATATTTTTAGCAGCTTATCTCCCTTGCTATAAAATGGAGGAAGCTTAAATTCACTATCCACTAATTACCAGAGAGAACACTCATTTTCTTTCTATCCTCTAATAGACTGAAGAGTAAGTTCTGGTGCCAGGCTTTTCTTTGCTGACCTGGGCAAGCAGCAATAATGCTTTTTCTGAAAACTGCTAGGTCTGATCTAGCTGTTGCTTTATGAAGGGAGCCCCTTTTCCCAGGCTTTTCTTGCAGTAGTTTTGCTAGAAAGCTCCACTTGTGTGTGAGCCTGAAACTTGAAGAATAATTTTAGTATTGTTGTTTAATTTAAGAAAATCTGGTGTCCAACGTAGCTATATTGGTACACGTGTCTATCTGAAGAGAAAGAATGAAAAGCATGTATAGGATAGGTTAAGTGAGTACCGTGTCTTCTGAAAACCTTGGGCTTAAATGTCTAAGGCAGTTCTGTTTAGATCTGAGCTCAAGAGTGGACTTGCTGGACAGAGCGATAGTATACATTGTTTCATTTCTCCAGTTGGGGAAGCTTTCTCTTAATACATGGAGACCCCAGAATACATAAGTGTATTTGTAGTAATTGGAATTTTAATACATGATCTAGGGGCATCTGGCTGGCTCAGTTAGTAGACCATTTGACTCTTGATCTTGGGATGGTGAGGTCAAGCCCCACACTGGGTGTAGGACCTACTTTAAAAAAACAACAACAAAGTGATCTAATAAGTATGTATACTTTTGACTTGCTTTTGAATTTAGTTGTTTTTAAAAAAAGTGGAATTTCAGGGATGCCTGGATGGCTCGGTCAGTTAAGCATCCGACTCTTGGTTTTGGCTCAGGTCATGAATTCAGGGTCCCTGAGATCTAGCCCTGTATTGAACTTAGTGCTGACAGCACAGAGCCTACTTGGGACTCTCTCTCTGCCCTTCCCCCCCACCCCCACTCTCTCTCACTCTCCTCTCCAAATAAACATATAAACATTAAAAATAAAGTGGAATTTCAAAATATGAAGTAGGGAAGAGAACACCACATAGGTGTATAAGAGCAGCAGTATCTGATGATACAATGAGCATACAAGGAGACGTGGTTAGGATTGCACACACCGAGAGGAGAGTAGCACAGCAGTGGTAGGTTCATGTGGGAGGGTGGGGATATAGTGCACAAGCAAATGGAGGGCCCCGGAGGCTTCGGTACCCCTCACATTCAAGGCACTCTACTGGATAACCCTTGGCTACCTTTTGTGACTTTTCTCTTACCGCAGCAAAACCTAGAAAGAATCTCTCCAGAGGGTTAAATGTACCATTACATGCATAGTGATGCTAACCAGCTGTGCCGCTTGGGGTTCAACACCGCAAGCTGCCCAAACAGTGGGAAAGGCCAAAGGCTCCCTGGGGTTTCAGAACTGACTGGCAGTCGGACCAGAACCTGCAGCAACAGCCACACTGCAGGAAAGGTTGGCTTAGCACCGCCTGCTGCCCCGTTCTGAAGAACGGCCGCCTTTTCCTCAAGCCCTTGTGTGACTGGGCCCTCAAACTGGTGCCCAGGCGTCCAAGCCTAGGCCATGTGCTTGCCTCCCAATGTTCCAGGCTCCCGAGAGAAGGATTTGGGTCTGCTAGTTACAGTACCGCCGAGCAGTGGCTGTTTCCCATGAGGGCATGGAGGCTGCAGGGTGCTGTTGGGAAGAGGGTTTGGTTGCTAGACGGCAGAAAGAGAAAACACAAGACGGCAGAAAGAGAAAACACAAGACCTGCAAACCAAACCGTATCACCTGTATTTATCTGAAGCTCAGTCTCTTTACAAATATGAACGATTTTTCTCAGACTTAGCCTCTATGGATAGATAATATTATTTTTCTTTTTCCGTAATTATTTGTCCATTGTTAAAAAAAACAACACCTCAGGACTATCTTCATAAGTTTAGTCCATCTTTGTCACAGTTGTGTGTGTGCGTGGCTCAGTGTCCTAGTTCTACCTGGTTTTGCATGATGAGCAGAGTTCTGTGCCCTCTGACTCCTGTTTTCTACTCCCCAGAGAAAACTGTTTTCAATTTCTGGCTGATTTATTTGGTATTTGTCTTCATATTTCTGAGTTGCACACTGTGGCTATGTCTTAATGTTTCCACTTTAGACATTGCTTATCAACTCCCCACTCTGGAAAATGAGTTTTACTCTTTCCCAGCACTTCTGCCTGAGCATACATACATGCTCTCCTTCCCCCATCCTCGTGGGATAGCGGTATTGGGTCCACAGCCTGTGTCTTTATTATTATGACTATGTGAACATTTTTGCGATGAAGCCGTGTAGTCAACTATAACTACTCTTTTCTTCCAATACTACCTTTGGTTTTTCCCTGGTGATGATTACTGTCTTGGTTTTTTATTTATTTGCTTAGATTTTCTGTGCTTCTCACAAATTTAACCCCCAAATCTCCCCTAATTGTAGGAATCTTCCCATATAAACACATTAGATATTCAATGAATTTCTTAATCTCTCTCTAGGCATTCTTTTTTTTTTTTTTTTTACACATATATTTATTTTTGAGAGGGGAGAGTCAGAGCATGAGTGGGGGAGGGGCAGAGAGAGGGGGAGACATAGAATCTGAGGTAGGCTCCAGTCTCCGAGCTGTCAGCACAGAGCCCAACGCAGGGCTTGAACCCATGAACCATGAGATCATGACCTGAGCCAAAGTCAGATGCTTTACCGATTGAGCCACCCAGGCACCCCTCTCCCTAAGCATTCTGACCTGTTCTTGTCTGGACCCTTGACCAGTTGCCCTCCAGACCCACTAAGGAGCTGTTGTTCTGGGGTCTCTTTCACAATCATTTGAGGACCTTCACCTGTATCTTGTTTCAGATCCCTTGCTTCCTGGATTCAATATTGTTCTCTTCCTTAGTCTTCACCTGTTACTTTGAAATAGCAGATTACCATTAGTTTCTTGAGAAAGTACATCTTTTTTTAGTTCCAGGAATTTCCCTGAGAATTTTAAAGTCACTGCTTCATTTTTTTTTTTCTCTATCCTTCAGAGTCCCTGTTGAAAAGTGTAATTCATTCTGATTCTTTTTTTCCCATTCTGATTCTGACCTTTTATGTGACAGCTTGTTTTCCCTCTGAAAGCTTCTCTCTAACATTGATGTTCTGCAGATTCTCTCTGATGTGACTTGGGCACTTGCTGGACCCTTTCAATCTGGGACATTTTTGTGAATTAACTCATTCATGACTTTCTCTCCTTGGTCTTTCTCTTCTGTCTTTCTTGAACTGCTGTTATTTAGATGTTGGACCTCTTAGACTGATACCCAGTTTTTGTATCTTTACTCTCCTGTGTTCTATCATTGTGGCTTTTTATTTTTCTTTCTGAAAGAGTTCCTCAACTTTGTCTTCCAACCCTTACATTGAGTTGTTTGGTTCTGCTATCAAAATGTGTATTTTTCTGGGGCGCCTGGGTGGCTTGAAGTTGAAGTCAGACACTTCAACTCAGGTCATGATCTTGTGGTTTGTGAATTCAAGCTCCATGCCGAGCTCTCTGCTGTCAGTGCAGAGCCCGCTCCGGATCCTCTTTCTCCCTCTCTTTGCCCTTCCCCCACTCATGCTTTCTCTCTGTCTCTCTCAAAAAGAAACATTTTTAAATGTGAATGAATAAGCAAAATATTTTTTTCTAACATTATTTCTAACATTTTTCTGAATGTTCATTTTTTTCATTGCTATTTATTACTGACTCATTTATTGTATGATGAACAATACAGAAACTAGAAAATATAATTACTTGAAGGCATTTTATGACAAAAAGAGATTGTCAGTCGACTAGCCTCAAAATTTGTAAGCTTGGGGTGCCTGGGTAGCTCCGTTGGTTAAGGGTCTGGCTCTGTTTCGGCTCAGGTCATGATCTCACGGTTCGTGAGTTCTAGCCTGTGCTTGGGATTCTCTCTCTCTCTCTCCATCCGTCCAGTGCTCTCTCTCTCTCGCTCTCTTTCAAAATAAATAAATTAAAAAAAAAATTGTAAGCTTGAGCCAGAGAAAATCACCTAAAATATACAAAATTCTATTGTATATAATTTTTAGCGACCATAAGGGTTATGTTATCTCTGGCTGTTTTGTTTGTTTTTATTGTATCTTTTTTAAAAGTTTGTATCTTCCTGTATATTCTCTTTTTTCCTCTGAGTTGCTTTTTTCTCCCTATTTTGGTCTATCTTTCATAGTAAATGCTTTCCTCAATTTCTGGTGATCCTTGACTATTTTCTGATATTTAAGAGCAGGCCACTAAACAGGTGCGTGAGAGCTCTGGACTTGTGAGTAAAACTTACAGGCTGTGAGCCTCACTGTGGGCTGGGGTGGTCTGCATGCATACTGGTATACCTGTCTTACCTTTTTCTTTAGGTCTGTTTATTTATTTATTGAGACCACACAAGCAGGGGAGAAGGGCAGCGAGAGAAGGTGCAGAGAGAGAACGAATCTCGAGCAAGTTCTACGCTTAGTCCCACCATCCCAGGATTGTGACCTGAGCTGAAATCAAGAGTCAGACCCTTAGCTGACTGAGCAACTCAGGCACCCCTCTTTAGGTCTTTTATCTTGGCTGGTCTGATTCTGTTGGAAATTTTCTAACTTTGCACTATTTATTTTCTACCACTTTCTTGCAATTTCTAGGTGTATATGGTCTTTGGTTCTTATGTTGTAGATAAAAATATCTCCACTGGGTCTCTGCTAAAATCTTTCTTTAGATGTCCTTTAGACCCTCCTGTACTCTTATTTGCTTCCATGGCACTTAGCAGATAGGCCAACTTGCTAAACAGTAAACAGGAGTCAGTAGGAACAGATCTGAGAGCTAGAACACATCTAGATTACAAAGTAAGAGTCACTTTCAGTGCATTATTTTTCCTTAGTATATTTGATCAGAAATTGGATGAACCTCCGGGATGCTGAGACAGGGAAGATACTATGGCAAGGAACAGAAGACCTGTCAGTCCCCGGTGTGGAGCATGAAGGTACTCTCCAACCCTTTATCTGCACAGGGCTCTCACGTTTCAGGAGCAGGGCCCAAGCATCAGGGAGCTGAATTAATGCAGACCCTAATGGGGAGCAAGCCCCTGCAGGCACAGCACATGTTGTTGAACTTCCTAGTTCCTTTCCTATCGTTCTTTCTCTCACTTCCCAAGTCCACTTTGTGCTGAAATTTTAGCATCAGAACATACCTAAAGATACAAACTAAGATCTCAACTTTGTTTTGTTTTTTTTTTCCAAAGAAAATTTGCCTTTTTATCCCCCTGAAATAAAAGAAAAACTAAGGGGTTAAAACTAACAAAACACAGTAGAGAAGGTGCCTGTTCAGCCCACTTCCTGATGACAGCAGCTAGGGAAGGCCCTTAGATGCACTATATCTTGTGTTTCTTGATGATCTTTCAGTCAGATGCACTTGACCAATTGGGGACCTCTGCCTAAATTAAAAAGTATAATTCTGTTACCAAGGCATCCTCTGAAATTTAACATAGATAATGTGTTCTCTAAATCAGCTCTAAAAAGCTCCCAGAAACTTGAAGCACCATAGTATGTGATTTTCGTTGAGGGTGGCTTCAATATTTCTTTTTCTTTACCAGCCCGTGTTCCCAAGAAAATCCTCAAGTGCAAGGCAGTGTCTCGAGAATTGAACTTCTCTTCAGCAGAGCAAATGGAAAAATTCCGCCTGGAGCAAAAAGTTTACTTCAAAGGGCAATGCCTAGAAGGTATTCTGTGGCCTTTGTGCCTAGAAGCCACACTTAGGGTGACAGGGAAAAAAAAGGCAAGATCCAGGGAACTAAAGCACTGCTTTGGTAACATTCATTTTGCAACTCAATTTGTGATAGGATTCCTACACCCTGCCAGACTGGGGGCCCCCAGCAAAAAGAAACAAAAACAAAGCTGATGACAAGGGGCACTGAGCCCAACAAAAGGGTTTCTGACCCTGGTGGGCCTGGGGTTGGTGTCTACTTTGTCACTGGTGAATTGTAACAAGGTCACGAGGAAGCAGCCGATTGGGGCCTGGTACAGTGCTCTCCATACAGTCTCAGGCAGATCTGACTGGCAAGGCCACTCTGCACTGATTTTCTAACCATGGACTGTAAGAGTGCACGTATGTGTGTTAGAGCTGAAATTCCAAGTAGAAGGCCTATTCTGTCCTTCTCTTTATCATTTACATATTGCCTACTTCTAAGAAAGCCTTGCTTATGCTGTATCTGCCCACTGGTCCTAGTGCTTTAGACCCTGGAGCATAGGCAGCAAGCCTCTGGTGGGTTCAGAGGACAGCCTGAGGGGGCTTCCATGTCCTTTCTTATGGCTCTGGCTCCAGAGGTTTCTGACGGCTGCATTTATGGTTCTTGGGGTAAGAAGAGGCTCGCTCCAAAGGGGGGTGGACAAAGAGTCCTGAGACTGTCTGGGACGCCCACTCACCCGCTTTTCCTTCTTCCTTCAGAATGGTTCTTCGAGTTTGGCTTTGTGATCCCTAACTCCACAAACACCTGGCAGTCCCTGATAGAGGCAGCGCCCGAGTCCCAGATGATGCCTGCCAGCGTGCTAACGTGAGTGAGCAGACCACAGGGATTGTGGAGTGTGTCTAGAAGCAGGCGTTCCAGGCAGTGGGGGGACTGGTCAGCAAGCAACCTAGGTTGAAAATAAGGGTAAAGAGTATCCAGAGATATTCAGATTTACAGGTTACTGACTTCTGTCATATGAAAAAGATAGTGTGATCAAATGGAAAAAATATACAACTTTAGACTAAACAACTTTAGATTTAGACTAAATTCCTGATTAACCCTGACTAGCTATGCAATCTTGGACAATACCTCTGGCCTTATTTTTCTCCTCTCTAAACATAGAATTAATAATTCTGTCTCACAGAGGTGTAGTCCGGACAAAATGAGATGATATGGAAGGACACTGGCGTGTGCTATATATTAAATCTATGCTACTTTGCTCACTTTCCTGACTACCAAACGTCTGATACTCTGTACGTTTCTTGAATAGCCTTTAATGGAGTCTGTCAAAGGTCTAATTTTGTTTTAGAGGATAATCTTTGGTTACAGTTTTTCAGAGACTAGCTTACCATTTTTAATAGCTATGCTTCCTGCTCAAAGAATAATTAGTTTGTCCTTTGTCCAAAACAACTGTCAGTAACAACCCAATTACCATTCTCTCTTGGAAAAAGGTATTAGTCTTTCAAAGGTTTTAGTAATACTGTGTTGTATTGGGTTATTCACACAGATAATCGTGTAATATTGGATTGTCCCTTTAAACAGATCCTTGATGAAAGCCACACTGAATATAGAGGTTGTTTATAAGTCCTTAATAGATTTTTAATTACGATAGTAGGTGTTTTTATATTCTATTAGCCATTTAAATCTTGAGTTTCTTATGTACCTACTTTATAATTAATTACCAGCAAAAATGTATCTGCTGGCTATTAATTACCCTGGAAAAGTACAGGGTAGTACATAGAAGGGCGTTTTTTATATTTTATTAGCCTTCATTTGACTCCTGCTTGACCAAGCCCAATTTTTTTTCAGGTACTAAAACCAGTAAGTATATGATGACATATCTAGGTTATTTCAGTCACATTTTACTTTTGGGAACCTAAAATCAGTTCCTCTGTTGCCCTTACCTTGGTTCGAGAGTGCTTTGGTTTGGAAACACTGAGATACCCACCAAGAAAAATGAAATTCCACTCTGTGCAGCGATACAGGTGTATCATTTGGGGTTCTTTGGCTGCAAGCCGTAGAAACTGACTCCAGCTAATAGGACAGAGCTGAAAGGTGTGGGGTGTCCTGAGACCTGGGCAGCTCAAAAGATGCAGATGGCAGGAATCCGTGGATGATTTCCTTCAGGAGCAGCCATAGGAAGTATCCTGCTCTAGGGAGAGAGTCTGACTGGCCCAAATTATGTCCTATGCCCACCTCTTTGCCAGGTGAAGCGGGGGTTACTTGACTGACACAGACTGGAGATGGTGTGGGTCCCCAAAAGAAGAGCAGAGTGCTGTTACCCAAAGTGATGAGAACAGATGCAGGAAAGGCCAACCCTCAGCTGTCCACCAGAGTAGGTGTTGTAGGGAAAGATACCACCCCTGAGGCCTGCAGGTTTCCAGGCATATCAAAAAGTCAGTTATTAAAAAAAAAAAAAAAAAAAAAAAAAAGTCACATTTTATAAGCACCCCTGTGTGCAAAGTCCTCTACTAAGGGCTTTATATATATCAAGGATTAAGATATGCTCTCTCTTCTGTTTTCTGAACTTGCAGAAAGTTAAATGTCACATTAGACTTCTAACCCCATTTAGACATAGATTTTAGTGTCCCCAAGCCAAGGTTCTAGGTGGGTGCATGTCCTTGAGCCCAGCAGACCCAAACTGAAACCACTGGGTGAGAATGAAATCTGTTGCCTAACACATTCACTCTTTTGCCCTCTTTTCTTACTTATAGTGGGAATGTTATCATAGAGACAAAGTTTTTTGACGACGATCTTCTTGTAAGCACATCCAGAGTGAGACTTTTCTACGTTTGAGAGAAGAATGTGTGTGCATTTCAAGAATGTGGGGTTTTGGGGAGAAAGGAGGAAACTGTTTACTTTTTTCCTCCACACATTTGGTTTTTGACACTTTCACCCCTAATTCCCTCTATGGCAAAACCCACCTGCAGCCACCAGGGGACCAGTTCTGTGTAGGTAACCAGATGGCTGTTTCCTCCCAAGCTGCCATCTTCCACTGACCAGACTAAACTCCCAACCCCAGACCAGGGTAGAAGGCGAGCCTTGAGTCCTTCCCACGGTGACACAGGGACAAACGCTTACCACGAGAGTGGATGCTCTTCCCACCCCCTCCCTGCCTCCTCCTTGGGCCCTGCAGGCAACACATCTTCCTTTGGCCCCTGGTTTTGGAAAAATTCATATTCCTGACTTATGTTTAGTTTTTTTCCTACCATTTCTATTTCATACATTCTCATACACCTAACTTGTAAAATAGACTGATATTATTATTACATAATGAATTAAAACATATGAATTAAAATATTCCTACAGTCTTTAGCATGGCACTGCTTTCATCTCTACTTTTTCTGGAACATGAACTCGGCCCCATGATGGGAAGAAAGACATTTATCAGACCATAGGATCACCACTATGTTTTACTCCAGAGATCGACTGATAGATCTTGCGGTTCCTGTTGCTTCAGTTGCTGCTTTCCAAGAATGTTACAACGTACCCAGACAAGACCCATGACCTTAACATTTGTCTTTTAGACGTGATATTTAGTGGTTCTCTTCCAGAACATAGATGCGCCCGTTGTTTGTTTGTTGTTAACTTTTTTCATACCTTTATGATGTACATTTGTTCAAGAGATTTCCTTGGCAGAGTAGGGACTCTTATATTCCTAAGTGAGAGAACAGAGGTTACAAAATGGAGAAAAAAATCTCCTTCGAGTCATGTGGAGAACGATGGGAATGCATCTGGGATGGGGTGGGTGCTGGGAGGCCTCAAAACCCAGTCAAATGGTGGTGTGACCGGTGTGGTGTGGGAGAGAGCGATCATATCTGCAGTGCCTACAAGTCCGACATGAGAGAGAGAAGGGATCTTTTTTAGGAACTTACCTCTGACCTCCCAGTAGCTTTCACTATCCTTTATAAAATACCAACAATTAAAAGTTTTGCGGTTCCCACAGTAGTAAGGTCTGAGGCCAGAGGGGAGGAGACTACACCAAAAGATGGGCCCTCTGTGGTGTAGCCCCTGCTCCCAGATTCCTCCTCTCCTTCTGTCTGTTGCCGAAGGGTCTGTTTGCATCTGTGGATGGGGAGAGAAGTACATTTTTAGTATACTATTGCCCTGTTTCAGTGGTAATTCTATTCTTCACATTAGGGCTGTTGTCTTCAAAAGCCAATTTTTAAATTCCAAGGTTGGATTAAAACAACAACAACAAAGTTCAAATGAATCCAGGTTTCCTTTTACTTTCTGGAAATACCATCTCTTTTCTCAGAGTGAGAGCTCGTCTCCTTTCCTTTTCCTAAACTGTATCTGCTCCCCATCAAGGAAGGCTCTCAGGGGACTGGACACCTCCCAGTGGAGAAAAGACCATCCCAGGGAAGCTTCTCCACCTGCTTAGAGCCTCCTTCACTGTCAGGGACACACTTCTTTGCCAGCTGCTCTTAAAAAAAAAGTTACAGCCCAGTCCTCCTTAGACTCCTACCATCTCCTCAGGCAACAGCGCATATGCTCAGGCAATGTGGATCATCTTATCGTGAAACAACTAAGGCCAAAAAAGTGTGTACTCCAGGGACAGTGTGATAGAGGGACCGTGCAGGAGGGACCGGAGCAGGCCCAGAGGGGGGCTGCAGCTGTGGTGGACTAGGAGAAGGGGGGAGGAGCACGGGCAGCGGGGAGCACAGGCAGGAGAGGACAGAGCTGCGGGGACGAGGCCCTCGTAGGTTAAAGTCCGCCTTGGTAGAGTGGGTGCAGATCCGAATGCCTGCAGAGCTGGGCCGTCCGTGGATACATCGAAGGCCACAGAACGTTATGAAAGAGAGCATACAGCCCAGGCGTAGCACAGCGTACAGCCACTCGTTCTCAAACATTTACAAGTACCTGCCAGAGACTCTGATTCAGTCGGCGCGGGGCCTAGAAATCCACCTGTTAAAACACCCCAGGTGATTCTGATGCAGGTGGTCTGTGGACCACACTTTGAGAAGTACTGGTGGAGACATTTACTGGCTGTAAATATGTACAGCCACACAGGTGGCTGTAAGATAAACTAAAGTCTCCGGGCAGCATGCTTGATGAACAAAGGGTGCTCCCAGTTCGGACTTGTGCAGGCAGAGGGTAAGCATTCAGATGCTGCAGGCAATCGAGAGGACCTGAAGAGTCTGTGTAGGTAGGGGAGGAGAAGACAGATGACCTTGGAGAAAGATGTGGGAGAACTTAGAAGACCCTTTCAAACACAGATTTCTATGTAGAAAACTCTGGTTGAGGTTTGCTGCGTTCCTTGCCGGTGTTTTTGGACTTCTGTGGTGGGCGTGTGGTGAAGCACTGAGTCTGGCCCCAGTTGGGCAAAAGCAGGGGGTGCAGGCAGTCAAGTCTACCAAAGGCCACATTAGGTCACACTTATACTCTTACTATATATGTGTGTGTGAGGCACAGGCCTGCCTTTCACGTGCCTCTAGTAGAGGGACGTGACGAGTAGAAGTGCCTGCCATAAGGGAAGCACGGGTGAATTTAAAGGAAGAAGAGATCGGGGCGCCTGGCTGGCTCAGTCGGAAGAGCGTGCAACTCCTGATCTCGAGGTTGTGAGTTTGAGCCCCTTAAAAAAAATACAACTTTAGGGGCACCTGGGTGGCTCAGTCGGTTGGGCGTCCGACTTCGGCTCGGGTCATGATCTCGCGGTCCGTGAGTTTGAGCCCTGCTTCGGGCTCTGTGCTGACAGCTCAGAGCCTGGAGACTGCTTCGGATTCTGTGTCTCCCTCTCTCTCCCTGACCCTCCCCCATTCATGCTCTCTCTCTGTCTCAAAAATAAATAAACGTTAAAAAAAATTTTTTTAATACAACTTGAAAAGAAATGAAGGAGAGATAAAAAAATAAATGAATAAGATGAAAATTTAAAAAGGAAGAAGAAGAGATGACACACAATTCAGAAAAATCAGCAAAGCCCTCTTCTCTGAGTCCTTCAGTTCTTAACCTCAAAATGTATTCAAGTCACCCTAAAAACCAAGTTTTTAAAAATAACGTTTTCCCTCAGTCCTGCTGCATCCTTCTCTTTCTCTGCAGATGCAAACTCCTTGGAATTGTCTCCACTCCTTCTTTCCACTCCCTGCCTCTCATTCACTCCTCCTCAGCCACTGCTGTCTGGCTCTGGCCCGGGCCTCCTCTCCTCCAGTGCGTACTCGAACGCCACTGATCCACTGCCCCCTTCTGGTCCTTCCTGTTCTGTCTCCTGCCTTTAATCCTTTTGACATCTGGAGATTCTTCTGGATTCAGGGAGCCCCTTTTCTGGGAGTTCAGCTCCTTTCAGACTCTTCATTTGCTTCCAACCACCTTGTCCCTAAAATGTTTGTTAGTGGATTTTTTTTCTTTTCTCTTCTTTTCCTTTCTTTTCTTTTCTTTTCTCTTGTTTTCTTTCTTTCTTTTTTAGCTCTTGAATATCGAGAATATACGATATGCAAACCCTTTAAGCATTATACATTCACTCCACGCATATGTATCGAGCACTTTTTATATACCAACCACTGTTCTAAATGGTGGAGGTACTTGCTGGACAAGACTAGGGAAGTCCCTACCATTAGATTCTAATGAGAGGAGACAGGAAGCAAATAATTTCAGATAGTGATCAATGCTCTGAAGAAATAGGACAGCGCAATGGCAGCATCAGTCTGGTGTGAAAAGGAACAGAAGACGGCGTTCAGCTTTTGACCACCAAAACAGGCTGGATGAGTCCCCAGCAAGCCAACAGCCCTTGACAGCCAGGCTTCTCCTCGAAAAGATGTTTTAAGTCCCCTAAACGCTCAACAAAGCAAGAACCCGGTATGGTACCCACGACTCTCTAATTTACTACAAGGGACTCCTCCTTGTGAGAGGCATGAACCGGCCCCATGCAGCCTGGTGCAGGGTGGAGAGGAGAACTGAGGACAAAACGGGCCACAGAGGTCCCTGCTTTCCTTCACCACCACCCCCCAGGCTCGGGTGGGACTGGCAGGCAGAAACATCTGCCCAGGTCAGGGAAGGAGGAGAACTTCAGAGCTGATGACCCCTCCCTGGAGGTTAGTGGGGAGAATGGGCCGCCCCACAATTCAGACCAGCCTGTTGACCAGCTTCACAGACATCTTTTCCAGCCCTGCTCCCCATGCTGTGGTTCCTACAACCACCTGGGGCCTGTGGGGCCAACTGCATCGCCTCCCCTTCTGATTTATCCTTCGCGTCACGGCCAAAAAGAGCCCCAAAATGTGCGTCTGGTTGCCAATCCCTCTGTATTGAATGGTTTATTTTTAGAATTTCTTGCTGGTGAGCAGGCAATTGTTTCGGCAGCTTTCAAAATACACTGTTAAAATAGTCCTCACAGTGAAGACATAATCTGCTTAGCAGTTTTTTCGGTGCTTTTATTGGGTCTGAAACGAGCATCTTTGGCTGTAGTTTTGAATAAAACAGAGGGGTGAAGTGGAATGGAGTGAAAAGTAGAGATTTGGTTCCCAAACTGTGCACCGAGGCACCCCAGGGCACTTCAGCAAATTCACAAGGGTGCCAAAGGATATTTTAATTTTCAAAGGAAATGCAACAATTTGGGACATGTGTTGTACACTGGTCACTATGAACTCAAGGCAGTTCGGTTTCAACATCACATTACACCACGTTACATTCTTTTTGAGGAGGTATCTTTAAGAAACCGAGTTTTGGGAAGTTTGGGTGATAAGTAAGCACCCCTTAAAAATCAACGTGAATAGGAAATGAGGGTGGTTGTGTCCAATCTGATTCCAAAGTTTGAGAAGCTGTGCGGTGCTCAGCAGGCACATAGCCCATCAGTAAGTCATTGTGATTACAAATAAAATAAAAATATTTTTTCTCGCAATTTATGTGGCTTTTCTTTTTCCCAGATAATATGACAGCTACTAACTAGGTTAGGATATAAATATTTAATATACTACATAATAAAGAGAAGTGTTGTTTATTTTGGTTTAGTTGCATTATGAAAAAAACTACTGAGACATTAAGGATGCTGTGAACAGAGAAAGTTTAAGGACTTTCTAGTAAGCCCTTAGGTGTTCTGTTGTTGTTGTTTTCAGATTTATTTTCAAGTAATTTCCACACCCAGTGTGAGGCTCAGACTCACCACTCTGAGATCAAAGAGTCACATTCTCTACCAACAGCCAGCCAGGTGCCCTAAGCCTTTAGTTTAACATATGCTTTTCAGGAAGCTCAGTGGGTTAAGCGTCTGACTTCCACTCAGGTCATGATCTCGCAGTTCGTGAGTTCCAGCCCCATGTCGGGCTCTGTGCTGACAGCTCAGAGCCTGGAGCCTGCTTCAAATTCTGTGTCTCCCTCTCTCTCTGCTCCTCCCCTGATCATGTTCTGTCTCTGTCTCTCTCACACAAAAATAAATAAACATTGAGGAAAAAAAATCTCTAAAAAAATATGTCTTTCAGGAGCACCTGGCTGGCTCAGTCGGTAGAGTATGCAACTCTTGATCTTGGGGTCATTAGTTTGAGCCCAACATCAGGTGTAGAGATTACTTAAAATGAAATCCACCTTTCAGATGGCTAGAAACACATGCACATAAAACCTTCAATGGCAGCTAGCAAAACTGGGTATTGACCACCCCCTCCCCACCCCATCTCCCGAACTCAGACAGCTCTTGGTTCCATGGAATGCTTTTGAATTCTTGTACTTATTAGAGGAAATGTTTTCAAGGGAAAAGAAGGCATTTATTCAAATTTCTTAGAGTGGCTTTTTAAGTGACTTGATTTATTCAAATCATCCTCCAAATAGCTCTTCTCGATTATAAGAGGATAAGCAAGATTATTATCACAGGAATGTTTTATGTATAATTATTATTTTCATCTGGGGCTAACATATGTGTATTAAAGCCATACAATATGGTATTTGAATATTTTATGGTGCACAAGGAACCCCTATGTCATCAGGGGTTCTATTTACAGAACTTGGAATTTCATTCCACTTTTTTATGTTGTTCGAGATTGATGATGGTCATTTCTTTTCTTTCATGGTATATTATGGCCATATATATATACTGTTTACTCAGGGCTCAGCCCTTGGTCAGGATTGGGATCCAAATCCCTTCTGGCAAATTGTCGAATTGTTACCCTCTTTTAATTGGCTTGTATTCAGCAATGATCAGCAATACATTTGGTACAATTAGGTTAAGGTTTTTCTTGAGGGGTTTACATCTACTTAAAAGTAGACACTTTATTTATTTTGAGAGAGTGCACGAGCACACATGCGTGTGAGTGGGGGAGGGGCAGGGAGTGAGGGAGAGAGAGAACCCCAAGCAGGCCCTGCATTGCCAGTGCACGTCCAACGTGGGGCTGGAACCCACGAACCGGGAGATGGTGACCTGAGCCAAAAGCAAGAGTCGGAGGCTTAACCGACTGAACCACCCAGGCACCCCAAAAGTAGACACCTTATGTGATATTCAGGTGGTTTTATGGCC